ATTATGAAAAATTGTAGTGAAGCTCAAAGGCACACTGGACTGAATTGGATTCTAAATCCACAAAATCTGTGTCCAGCATCATTCTGGTACATTGCCTTCTAAGAAAGGCTTGCAACTATTAAGAGAATCCCACCTTTTCCTCTTGCCATCATTCTTTAGGATCGAAGATGAGGTCTAAAGGACTAATCTGACATTTAAAGAAATTTCTTCCTTCTAGAATATATGTGTTGCTTAAAAGTTCTTCTTTGGAGGTGTCTTGAGAGTTGTATTGAGAATGATGAGGAAGCCACGTGCAGTCTTAGGCAGAATGTTCTCATCACAGCTAATTTTCTTTCAGTTTGACACATTTGTACTTTTCTCCTTTGCCTTTTCGTTTTCCTTTTTTCTTCTTTAAAGTTTAGCACCTCCTCCCAGGGAGTAGATGTACCTGCTTGCTTTTGGCCTTGGGCAGAGACTATAGCAAATGGCTCAGAACCAAACAGGGATGTAAGCAGAATATCTTGTAATACTCAGATTATTCCCACCCATCCATAGTCATCAGTCCACCATAATTGGCTCTCATTAATAATGCTTAAAAACGCAAGTGCACTTTAATTTCCAGCCTTTGAGGGCCATCTCCGTTCTTTCAGTTTCTGCCATTTTTCTACCCTTAACTAATGCTGTGATTATTTTCTGATTGTCAACATTTAGAAAGTTTTATATCATATCTGAGTTCACAGAGTAAGAATGGACTCAGAAACACATGAACACATTTGCATACATACATGCCTTTAATAATAACATGAAGTAGAGTGAAATGCATTGCAATCGGGAGAATTGAGTCTTTGCGAACATTTAATTATCCAGTACTGGTAATGACTAATCAGCTTGTGTTCCACTGACTCAGTCGCTTAATGCTACAACTGCTATGCTGTTTCATGATTTAGCTGAAAGCATTTTTCCTGTTCAGAGGTTGCCAGGTAATTTTAATGTTGGCTGTAAATTCTTATAATTGTTCTAGATACCCCCTATGTGTGTTTTGGAAATATCCCATTGCTGTTTTCAATCATATACTTGAATAGAATCTCAGACTATTGTTTGTCCTATTTGGTAAAAAACAAAACAAAAAAATTGTTTGGTTTGGGGGTGGTATGACCTTAGTGTGAGTAGTGTTTGTTTTTGAGAAGTCATACATTTTGAATGTGTCTGCTTCAATAAAAATTCTTTCAAGTGGTTTTAAATCACTGCTTGTGTTTCATTTTATATCAAAAACCTTTTGTACAACTAAAATTTGTAATTCTAAGTGGTTCATTATTTTTTTAAATTACACTTGTGGCAGTTAATCCTAATCTGTTTTAGCTTGAAGTTGTTTGTACCTTGAGTGCCGGGACATAAATTTCATTCTATTTTATCAGAGGAATAAACTGTTTCCCTTGGGTAACAGGCACATTTGAGAAGGCATTCATTTTTTCACATCTAAACGTTACCATTAAATAAATTGACACTGTGGTGCTTTAAATGGGCATCCTTAAAGCCCCAAAGAGCCAGTGTACCTTCTGGTGTACCAAAATTAACACCCTGAAGCCTTTCCCTGGGCTTTGTAATTTTTCATAATGTTTCTTTTATTTCTCCCTTCTTGTCTACTTTGAAGCCTATAAATACATTTCATCCTGAATATATTATCTTCTCATGTGTATTGTTTTATAAATTATTCTTTATCCTCAAACAGGTAATCTCTCCCTGACTCTTGAACAGTTGCTTGGTTTTTTGGGTATTTTTTTTTGTTTGGTTGGTTTGGTTTGTTTGTTTTGGGTTTTTGGGGGGAGGGTTCTTTTTTTGTTTGTTTTTTGTTTTTTGGTCCAGGCCGAAACAGGTGGCGAATGATACAGCAACCAAAACCACATTTCACATTTTATTGCTAGAAGAAGATCTGGCCCCCAATTCCCCTGCAGCCTCCCAGATCAGATAATTTAGTCAAGCTCTCCTCAAGTTACCTATGAAGAAACCAATTCTGGGACTTCCCCCAATACACACACAGACCGATCTGTAGTAGAAGGCAATTAGAACAAAGATCTCCTAGTTTCTTGCTTCTCATAATTAAGCCTTAGAAGCAAAAGCACACACCTGGGATCATGGCCAAACACTTAATTTTCCTTATCTATTTTTGGCATACAGGGAGAGAAATTGTCACAAATTTAACAATTATCTCACCTTATACCCTTAAATGCTTTGCCACTATAGCTGATTGTGGTGAGGTAAGAAATATATCAGAGTAGCATTGCCCAAACATGTTTTACAGAATCTGATGTCACTGGATCTTCCTTGGGTTGAAAAAAAGAGTTCTATGGGAGATGCTGACTTACACAAAGATAAAGAGGTTTCTTTACTACAGGACTTCTTAGAGCATTTGTTATATGAATATTTGTTGTGAACAGCCAGCAGGAGGGGTAAGGAACAGCCTTCCCCACTTCTCTAAGGAACCTCATTGTTAACTTGTTCCATGTAATGCAGTGTGTGAAACAGTGAATGGAGTATTCTGATATTCTTTTTAGTCCATCTTTTTACATGGGATCTTAGTTCCCCCACCGGGGATGGAGCTCATGCCCCCTGCAGTGGAAGTGCGGAGTCTTAACCACTGGACCACCAAGGAAGTCCTTGTTAGTCCATCTTTGTGTGGCATTCCTAGTTGGCAGTACTCAAAGGCCAAATATTAAAATTTTGCGAACCAAACCAATTTTATTTACATACAAGCATTATTTAATATCTATTTCATGTGCTCTTCTTTCTGTGCTCAATGTTCTGAAGGTTATACATTATACTTCAAACATATTGCTAATTTTTAATGTTTCTTTTAAGCATGTTTTAGGGATAATTACAAACAGATCACCTGTTAAGTTTATAGCAGCACCCAGTGTTTATAGTGTACATCAGCTTGGAATCCAAGGCCTTGGGGGGAAAGAAGTGTGATTTAGAAACAATGTAAATAATTCCAGTACAGTTCCCAAATGACCATGTGCTCTGCCACAAAGGGAGAAATGAATTCCTAATTTTACTCACATGGTGTCAGATCATCAGTTCCAAAGGACTAATGGCATATGTTATGGACAACAGCCTTCAGGGGACTCTTTGAGTGGCCCTCACTTGCTTCCAGACACACCACCCATCAGCCTTCCTGGCCAACCCTGGTCCTCTTCGTGAACGGTGTTTTCAACACCAAGTGCTCTCTGTCAATGGACCATAACTCGACCTGTCCCCTTGGATAAGAGTAGCATCAGAATTGGGTATGCCTCTTCTGTAGAGCCAGAAACTTTCTTGCTTTAAATAAAATATGTACACTTGAATTATGTGAGGCCATTGCCTGGTTCTGTGCTAGCCCAATTCCTGGAGTTTTAATATTCATGTAATTGGTTACTGTCAGCAAGCACCATCCTTTTTCCACCTGAATGAATAGTCTTTCAAGTCCTTTCAAGTGATCTCTGGGTGTTTTGTTAATCCTACTGTAAGCAGTCTTTTAAGTTACTTGACCTTTTTTTTTTACTGTTAAGGAAATTGAGGTTCCCCGGGTCTCACATTGAAGAAAATATAGGTATCAATAGTATTTCCCAGGGTCATGTCTTTATTGTTTCTCCTGTTCCCTCCAAACCTTGCCCTAAAAGCCTTCACCTATAGGGAGGATGCCTTTTTCAAGGACAGACTTTTCTTTAGGACATAGTAATTTGAGCCAAGAAGTTGGCCACGTTGTGGTTGAATGGAAAGGTAGAAATGTTTCACTGAAGAAGTGGCTACCTTTTGTGAGGCCCCTCCCCCTTGTTTTCTTTGCTTACTCAACTCAGCCATGTTTCACAATGGAAACTTGTTTTTTACCTACCTCTTTTGTTGGGGATATTTTAAAAAAAAACAGGTATAGCCTGGATGTGCTATTTAAACTAATCATAACTTGGTCATTTTTTTCTAGCTAGTTTGCTTTCTGTGTGATGTTTAACAATTCCAGGGGGAAAAAATTGAATTCATTGGCTTCAGTGGACATGCTCCAGCATATATTTGAACTGCTAGACCTTTCTAGGAAACTTACTGTCACTTTTGTAATAACGGTGCTATCACTAAAATGGAGATAAAACTCTGTTCAGGACATCAGACACCTCTTTTACAATATATTTTTTGTTCTAGCCAGAGTTTATCTCTTCTTATACTGTAATAAAAATTCTCTGATGACCTAGAAAGATTTTTGGCTGAGAATTTGTCTCATATTGAAAAAGACATTTTTCACCCTAATAGCCAGTGGTTCTTTCCCTTGCCATTGTTAGGTATTACTGTTTGCTGGTGAGATAAAATTTTCATTTACCTATGAGATCTCTAAAAAGTAGGAAAATCTTCCAGCCCTAAGGGATTTTGCCACAAAAACCATCTGCTTAGGTCTTATGTATATATTTTGGTACACATTTTTGAAGCTTCAGTGTATGTTATGACCAATACTCTCTTACAGGGGGGGGGGAGAGGGGGTTAGTGTATCACAGTGAACACCTAGATTATACCTCTTCCTGTTAATACTGTTTACCTGCTTAGAAGTAAAAGTTCAATTGAACTTTCCTTAAAAGTTTGATTTTTAGCCTCACATCTTACATTGGTCCATTTATTATAGTCATGCGTCAGAAAAGAATTTACAAGATGAGGAGAAAATGCTGTGTGGTGTAAGATACTAATGTTTTAAAATGATGATACTTCAAAATCAAAAGTTACAGAGGCAAATCAGGTCTTTGGAGAAGAGTAACAAAAAAGATGTCAAATGGCTTAATAATAGAGGCCAGGCCACCAGAGTGCTGCTTCAAAGTCTTAAAGGAGCAGACCAAGTCTTCTAGCACTTCCCTTGGACGTACACAAACTTGCCAGCCCCAACTGGCTGTCTTCCCAAATTCTGGGAAACTTTACAAGAATCACAGGGGTTGGTACAAGTAGCGTGAGAATCTGCAGCGTTCTCTCTGTGATTTAGCTGCCATTGTGTGAGCAAATTTTCGTGTGTCAGTATGAAGAGGGTCCCATCTTTCCCTCCTGCCTCTGAGGTTTGTGATCTGTATTTTATTCTGTTCTTTTTTTCAGCCAGGTTGGGCTTTGAGGTCCTGGGGCCTTCTTTATACTTGCTTTCTATTTGCATGTGTATTTTTATCCATTTCCTGAGGGCTGTGGTGAATGCGTGGCTGGCATGTCAGTCAGCCTCACTGTTGCTCCTATCCTTAGAAGTTATGTATCTCCCTATTTAGATTTTTAAAGTCTGGTAAGTGTTGGGAATGCAAGGTGGTGTGTAGATATGGGTAGTGAAAGTGAAAAGTATCTTCTGAGGCCTTGTAGACGTGTTCAGTTCATCTCCAGTTAAGTTTGCCTTAGGAGACATACTTTTACCAAGTGGAGTTCCTGAGCCCCAGCCTGAATTTTGAGAGTCTGAGATTACTTTCTATAAATGGAAGAATCTCTGAATCATTTAAAAAAATGATTCCTGTTAGACTCTTGAATCACTAAATGCTTACAGCATTTTTGATCTGTCTACCCTCTATTAGCTATCCTGTGAGAAAGCTGCATTTCTTTAGAGCCACATTTCTGTAGCCCTGAAGTCCTTGGGGGTGATGGCATGGTGGGGAGGGGGACCACAGTGGGAACACTTAGAATTGATTGTTCCTGGTGAAATTAAACTGCTCAGCGGATCACATTTAGATAATGATAGCCTCACTCTGAGCTTCCAAACATGGCATCGTTCTTATCCAAGTCCTCACGGTCACTGGTTTTTCCTCAGCATTGTGCTTGCTGATTTAGGTGTTTTTTGTGGTGCTTAATATCCATTTCCTATAGGAGTTTCTATTCAGTTAAATGTGCTGCCATCGGGTAATGCCTGCCTAGAGACTATCTTCGTGTCTAGGGATGTACTTTGGATATTCAGTTGTGTTTTGCTCAGGTGTTTGAGAGTTTCGGTTAATATAACCATAATTAAGCTTTAAAGGCAAGAAGACAAAATGCTCTGGCTCGGTCTTGCTTCACTACCTCTAGTAAAGGAGAGACAGCTTAATCACTAAAGAAGATGCAGGAAAAGCAAAGTCAGAAAAGTACAGTTTTTAAGGCTTGTTTTAGAATTATGACTGTAAATTACACATGAAGATTATTCTTCTTGGCTTGTTATAATGGGATGGGCTTAGAAACCTCAGCAATTTGACCACTGAATACATTGTGGCAATTTTAACCAGGAAGCTTAATACACCGGAAATGTTGCCTGGCACTGTAGTGCTCTCCTCTCTGCACCCCGCCTTCCAGCCTTAGTACAGAAATGCTGAAATTTTGATGAAATGCTCTTTCTTTCAATTTTGAGTTCTTTTGGCCTTTTAAAGACTGATTATAATGTTCAAAAATACTAGTGCTTCAGAGAAGAAAATAGCTTTGGGGCTGGGATGTGGAGAACAGTTTTAAATCATTGCCAAGTGTTCAGATTATTAATAAGGATTTTTTGTTCATTTTTGAGCAAATATAGTCCCTCAGTATGTGCAGGGGATTGATTTCAGGACCCTCTGCAGATGTTTGAGTCCTATAAAATGGCATAGTATTTGCATATAACCTATGCACATCCTCCATATACTTTAAATCATCTCTAGATTACTTATAATACCTAGTATAATGTAAATGCTATGTAAGTAGTTTTTAGGTGCACGACATACTCAAGTTTTGCTTTTTGGAATTTCTGGATCTCCCCCCACCCCCAAAATATTTTTGATCTGAAGTTGCTTGAATCCACAGATGTGGAAGAGCTCTCCACCGATAAGGGAGAGCTGTCCTCGTACTTCCTTAGTAACTCACAAAGAGCAGCCTGATGATTAATAAAAGTCATGCTGTGATCGTTGGAGATGACATCGATGATTATTTGCTGATAACCCGAGTAGCTTTGCATGTTTTCAGGGCCTGTAATTTTCATTATCATTGATCTGAATAATTGATGGGTATTAGCCACATGCAAAATGAATATTGAAGGAGAATCTCATTTTGTGAGCAGCTTAAAATGGTCAGAGGGGTTGCTATTTGATGGTTATTTGTATATTTTTATCCTTTGAAAAGCCAATTATTTAAACTATTTTAATTAAAAAGTGTAGGATTGTGGCTGGTGTACTAAAAACTTGTAGGATGTTAGTTAAGGTCAATCATTAATTCAAAGAGAGAGGTTCTGTAGCAGTCATTCTCAGCCCTGGCTACAAATTAGAATTGTCACCTGGGGAGCTTTGAGAAAAATTAAATTAAATATTAAATAAAAGACCCAGCCATTGGTATTATGTTTAAAGACAACGTGTGACCAGACTTAAGAACCACTGATCTATGACTAAGTGATAAATTTAAGTCCGCCAACACCTGGAATGGATGGAGAGGTGAGCTGTGTTTCAGAACCTGTGCCAGCTTTCATAATGACAGTCTTGTATTAAGGTCTCAATCTTCCCTCAGTTCTTTTTGAGTCACTGGTCTAGAGGCAATCAAGAAATGAATTATAATTCCAGCAGCTTTCTTTGTTTATGACTAGCAAAAGCATAGGATTTTAAGATGGTACTAGTTGACCATTCTGTTTAATTCTTATGATGCATAGAAGCTTTTACTTTCTATTAAAATGTTTTTATGTGTAATACATTTTCCTTATAATACTGTAAAATCCTTATTGTCCTGACTACCGTACCACTTATGAAATGTGATGCTGGGCAAGCTGCAAAAACTCTCTGTGCTTCCACTTTGGCTGCTGTCTATTTTTTTCTTTGCTGTTATCTGGGGCATGGGTATAATAGTATCTACCTCATAGGGTAGCTGTAAGGATGTCTTGAGATACTGTGTATTAACCACTTAGAACACAAAATCAGTTCTCAGTAAATGTTAGCTGACATTATCGACAATTTTATTTCCCATTGGACCTAGCAAACTATCCGTAAGTGGTTCCTAAATAATGAGTTATCAAATCTATGCTATGACTCTTGTGTAAATAAACTACTTCTTAGAAAGTTTCTCGAAAAATATATTGCCTCAGATTAGCAGATGCAAACTATTATATACAGAATGGATAAACAACAAGGTCCTACTGTATAGTACAGGCAACTATATTCAATATCCTCTGATAAGCCATATGGAAAAGAATATGAAAAAGAATGTATATATGTGCATAACTGAATCACTTTGCTGTACAGCAGAAATTAACACAACATTGTAAATCAACTATACTTCAATAAAGTAAATTAAGAAAAAAAAGATGGTACTAGTTGAATAACAGTAACATTTTACTCTGGTTTTAATTGAGAGACTATGTTTTGGTATAAATTACTTTTTCTAAAAAAACAATATTCAGTTTATAGTATGGACGTATAATTCAAGAGTACAAAAGTGTGGGCTTCCCTGGTGGTGCAGTGGTTGAGAGTCCGCCTGCCGATGCGGGGGACACGGGTTCGTGCCCCGGTCCGGCAAAATCCCGCATGCCACGGAGCGGCTGGGCCCGTGAGCCATGGCCGCTGGGCCTGCGCGTCCGGAGCCTGTGTTCCGCGACGGGAGAGGCCACAACAGTGAGAGGCCCGCGTACCGAAAAAAAAAAAAAAAAAAAAAAGGGGGTTTTTTTTTTTTTTTTTTTTTTTTTTTTAGCAGTACGCGGGCCTCTAACCGCTGCGGCCCCTCCCGTCCCGGAGCATAGGCTCCGGACGCGCAGGCCCAGCGGCCATGGCTCACGGGCCCAGCCGCTCCACGGCATGCGGGACCCTCCCGGACCGGGGCACGAACCTGCGTCCCCCGCATCGGCAGGCAGACTCCCAACCACTGCGCCACCAGGGAAGGGAAGCCCCCAAAAGGGTGATTTTTATCATGAAGAAGAAAATTAAGTTGATTTCTCTTAATTCATATTACTATAAATACACTTTTATTTTTCTACCCTTTTAATTGTAGTGTATGCTGTATCATTAAAATAGAATTGTTGCTGGCACATTTCGGTTTTAATAAATGCTGTTCCTAAGAACATTTGCATGGGAAGCACTTCGACACAGGATGGACTCCTAATGAATTAAAATTCATTATGAGGTGGCAGGAATCATACACTCCCACTCCAGACTACACTGTGTGCCATCCAAGTGGGAATTTTTTTTTTTTAATAATTCAAACTTGGAGTTCCTCTCCCTTGGCTAAGGCACCTACATTATTCAAAATCACAGGAACCAAAACCACTGTTTTAACACTCTACATTGGTAGCAAGTGTAAAATTACAGTGAATTTACACATGTGTTCAGCTTTGCCATTTTTATGTGAACCAAACAACGTTATACGGTTGCAGCAAATTCTACCAGAAATTGCGGGTTCATCAGATTTTTAGGCCAAAACAGGCATTGAAAAGTCATCTATTTCACACACACACACACACACACCCCACCCCAGTCCTCAGGCAGCTCCAAACCCAAACCCACCTGAGCTGAGGAGACTTTGCCCTTTTTTGAAAAATCCTCAGGAGTGGACATTTTACAACTTCTCTTGGGTTCCTATTTCCACATCTAACAATGATCACTGCTGAGATCTCCCATCCCCCTCTCCCCCTCCCCAAACCTGCACAGCAATTTCTTTTTTTTTTTTATACTTTCTTCTTTTTTTTTTTAACATCTTTATTGGGGTATAATTGCTCTATGCACAGCAATTTCAATCCATTTTCTCCAATTTAATGGAGATAGAGGTCACTTAAGCCTTACTTGAAAGAGATCAGAGGTAATATATGGGGGAAAGTCTTAGTAAAACTGTAAATGCTGTGCAAATGCACAGAATTCATAAAAATATCATATGCCTGAAAAATTGCTTTATGCTTGTTCCTTCCTTTTGTTTGCAATGTTGTTATCTGCCACAGAAGAAAGTTGAAGACAATTCAGAATTGGGGAAGTGCTAGTTCAGTTTGGTTTTAAGTGGCCACTTGTTAACTGAGGAGAACTATATTGGCAGTGCAGGAAACATCCTGCTTCACTGACCTTCTACCTCTTTTCCTCTTCCCTGTTTTCATTTGTTGAATGATCTGAGAACTGGCATGAAAGGTAGCTCTTCCTTATTTACTCTATAGCCACTTCTTGCTTGTGTGGAAAACTAAACAACCATGTGAATATTAAAGGATTTAAATTGTAGTGTGTATATGGACTTGACAATTTCTGTACTTCCAATTGGTACATAATAGGTTCAGGTCTGTTGTAGAGACTACATTGGTGCCGTAACTTGCAACAGAAAGCTAGGGTAGGGGAAGCAGAATAAAGTATACTTTTAAGCAGGTGTATTCACTTTCAGTTTACTTTTTGCAAAAAGGATATTATGGAAAATTTAGTGCTCTTATCAGTAAGCTGCGTCAGACCATGTATATTACAGTTGCAAACAAAGTCAGTCCCTGAATCAAAATGTATATAGTTACCATTCTGGTAAAGGTATTGTTTACTGGTTTCCAGGAACTGTTTGAAAATTTACCTGTTAATCATGACCCTTAGCATGCGAAGGACCTGGTACAATCAGTAGTTCTAATGCCCTGTCTTGGGGCAGGCAGGAAAATAGCTAAGTTGTCCAGCATTGATAACTTACTTTTTCCAGGTTGCCATAGATTGAATGCTCCCTTAGTGCATGCCAGGGTGGATTTCCAGAAGTTATACTTTATATACAGGCTAAATCTCTCCTCCTTCAATTTATCTCAGTTAATTTTCCATTGATTCCCTATGGATTTTGGAGGCAATACCCCACTAAATAATTATTTAATAAGCTTAAAATGAAAATGGTGAGGCAAGAGGTCTTACCTGTATTTTAGGGTAATTCTTGTTCTTTTAATCTGAAAAATTATTTTCTCTTTATTTATGTGAGGTACAAAAATTCAGACTGGAATACATCCAAGCATAGACATTTGGAGAACTTTGCAACCTCTAAGTAGTCTTGCTTAAAATGATTATTTTGGGAGTAGAGAGTTATATCTTTGACCTTTAAATAGATCATTGAAGGGAAATCTTTGTGGCTACATACTTTAAAACATTTTAGGTTGGAAATTATAGTTATCTTTTTTTAAAAAAATAATGGAAATATGTAAGTGGATATTGGTGTTTATCATACTTTTTACTTAAAAAAATGGTTGTCTCAAACATGATAAAATAGTACCATCAAAAGAGACTATCCCAGATTTATATAAGAAGTTATATTATCCTGACTTAAAATAAGGAAAGTGAAGCCTCAGTGAAATAAAAGGGTGAGGTAAAAATGGAGCTCAACCTTGCGACTTCTAGATTCAATGAACCTCTTTTTTAAAAATATAAAAGGGGCATTAGAGCTGTATTGTGTGAAATGGGCCTTTTTTTTTTTTTTTTTTTGGTGGTACGCGGGCCTCTCGCTGTTGTGGCCTCTCCCATTGCGGAGCACAGGCTCCGGACGCGCAGGCTCAGCGGCCATGGCTCACGGGCCCAGCCGCTCTGCGGCATGCGGGATCCTACCGGACCGGGGCACAAACCCGTGTCCCCTGCATGGGCAGGCGGACTCTCAACCACTGCACCACCAGGGAAGCCCTGAAATGGGACTTTTTGACAGTAGGCTCTGAGAGATCACAAAAGAATGTCTTTCCTTGTAAAGCCAAACAATTACAACTTTTCTTTGTAGAAATAGTTGATCATTCCATTAAGAGAGGCAGCCGTTCTATTCAGTATATTCCTGTGTATTTATAAGCAATTATTTTGTGTTTAGAGCATTCTGCTGTCTAGTAAGGAAATTGACAAAGGTTGTCCTCAATAGTTGGTGTATAATAAAATAAATATTCCCAATCTGACCTTTCCTAAGTTAGTATGTTGCTGTGATAGTGATGGTTGAGACTCTGTGGATGAAAGAAAAATGATTGGCAGTAAAAATACTGTTTCTCTAGGATACTTACTTCAATTTAAACATTTAGAATTGTAATGTTGGCCTCAGAGCAGTTGGCTCAAACAAAACTTTTACTAATAATCTTCACTAAATCAGCAACTAAGAGCTTAGTGGAGTTTGAATTTCCTAACAAGGTTTTCTCCTCTCCCCCTACTACTCTCTCTCTCTAGACAATAGCCAAACATGTTAAGACAAGAATTCTGAGCTTGGTAGAAGCATGGAGAAATGTGATGAAAAACTGACTTTTCCTCTTTCTCTTGGTCAGTGTGCTGGAGAAGAGAAACGAGTTGGTACACGCACAGTATTTGTTGGCAATCATCCAGTTTCAGAAACAGAAGCATACATTGCACAAAAATTTTGTGATAATAGAATAGTCTCATCTAAGGTAAGTTGTTTTTTAACTCAATAGATGTTCATATAGTGAGCCAGATAAAACTTACTTTTATATTTGCTGGAAGCTGGTACATTTACGTATGTATACCTGGATGTGCACTTATACCAATCATAGACGAACTGTGGTAATTATTCCACCAAAAGGCAGTTTTTTTAAAAGCATCACTTTGTCTTGTTACAGCTGAAAGATCATTTACTTGCCCTCCACTATGATTCACATTGCCTGTTGATTATATGTATGACTTTAAGTCTTAAAGTGTGCTAAACGTGGAATTATTTACTTGCCCAGAGCTTTCTGAATTGCCCTTAAGTGGACGGACTGGGTTGTAAATAATTTACATTCTTCTGGAGGGTGTTATCTTAGAATGACATTTGTGTCTCTTTCTATTCCATTGCAGAGCTTCTCAAGTACACTCCTGGGTCCTAATGGGTACATTCTGTTCTGTACACTGCTTAAATAGTTAAGGGTTCAGTCACTGTAGCTGTATTACCATTTGAATAATCATCTTACTTTAGCACTGTGTAATACTAAAAGGAGTGGCCTGAAAGTCTGAAGACCTGTTTGAATCCTGGCCTGATCATTTACTAGCTGTGCGACTTTGGCCAAATTAATCTCTCAGTCTGAATGTCCTCATTAGTGAAATAGAGCTTATGTGATAGCGTTCTTTATAGATCCTAGTATCCAGTAGTCATCATTCTACAAGTATTAGTTTGCTTATCTTTACCTTTGACTGACTAGGTTAGGTGCTGGGTGCTAGATTGCTGGCCCACTGCTGTCTCTTATAGCATGGCACAGATCTTGATAATTTTCCTCACTTCCTAACATAAGGTAGATCTCACATGTTGGTGACGGTTGGTTCACTGCATGTTGGCAAACACTGAGGACCTGAAACACAAAATCATGCCCTTCCTTTGCAAACTTAACATTTTGGTTTTCAAATGTACATGTGATTTCTCTTTGGGTAGTGATATAATACAGACACGGGGAGGGGGAAGGGTAAACTGGGACGAAGTGAGAGAGTGGCATGGGCATATATACACTACCAAATGTAAAATAGATAGCTAGTGGGAAGCAGCCGCATAGCACAGGGAGATCAGCTCAGTGCTTTGTGACCACCTAGAGGGGTGGGATAGGGAGGGTGGAAGGGAGACGCAAGAGGGAGGGGATATGGGGATATATGTATAGCTGATTCACTTTGTTATACAGCAGAAACTAACACACCATTGTAAAGCAATTATACTCCAATAAAGGTGTTAAAAAAACACAGACAGATTATGCTTAGCTGGGAGAGTAACATGTAAAATGCGGACAGAATGAATGAAAACTTTATTGCCTAATGAGCAGATCTATTGGGCTATAGAACACTCTGAGTGTATTTGGATAAAATGTCTGTTTCCTGTTAATCTTTAACCTTATGGCAGAAATTTATCCTCAGCTAGAAGTTTCCATACCTGTGCCCAAGATAGTGAATTGTTCTTTCACTGAAAATTGTGACTCACCCTATAGTATTCAAGAAAACAATCAATAGTAGTCCTTTGGCTCAGAATCATAGACTTATAGAACTGAAACATCATAAGAGATCCTCTTGTTCAATTCGCTGATTTTACAGATGGAGAAAGCAAACCCACAGAAATTAAGTTAGTGACATGGTCACGAAGCAGAGTTAGTGATAAAGCCAGGGGCAGAACTGCTTTATAAGGTCTAGTGGCTCTGAATAAAGAGCTGTTTTCACATCATTTTGCAATTTGGGCTCCTCCCACAGTTTTCTCTCTCCTTTTGTATCAAGTGAAATATAAAATACTTTCTAGGGGATTATTGTTTCCTATAGTGTTTTATGGGGAAGATGGTAAAGTGACACACCGATAGTAAAGTGACTTTTCACTGAACCTAGTGATAATTGATTTGTTTTAATATACCATGAATTTTTACATATTAAAAGAACGTAGAAGACTCAGTTAATTCTCAACTCTTTTTGTTTTATAGAATATTTCATAGAATAGAATATTTTTCATATTTTGTTTAACTTCAGTTTTGCCAATATGCAAAACAATGCAATAGGATATTTCTTTAAATAGTCGGGAATTCATGGGCAAATATAAATTATTTCTAAACAGATCTGCATATACAGTATATATGTATGTGTTTTAGAAACCAGAATAAAGAAGTGAACATTTCTACGTTGATCGACTAACACATCTCTTTTTTCTCTGTAAATATTTTACATTCACAGTTTGTCTAGTTAACTGCTCATTAACTGATCTATTTTTCATAACAGATCTAGAGCAGAAAAAGAGGAACTGACAGTATACTAACTTCACAAAAAGAATGAAATTTTAGTACAATGAATAGTTATAAGAAAACAGCGTATAGTGTAGTGGTAAAGAGCTTCACCCTTACAGACAGAAGACCTGGGTTTGAAGTTAAAGTGAGTCATATAACTTTCCTGTGTCCAATTTTCTTATCTGTAAAATGGGGGTATTACCTACTTAGCTCATAGGATTGTGATTAGACTGAAGTAAAGTAATCCACAGAAAGCATTTAAGCACTGTGCTTGGCATGTAGTAACAACTCAGTAGGTGGTAGCTGCTATTGTTATTTATGTTTCTGTGATTATTATTATTATTACTGCAGTCCTGAGCAGTACTATTGATTTCCTCAGTCTCCTGTGTTCAAATGTGTAGAGTGATCTCTCTTGAAAAGAGGCCTTCAGTCTGGAGAGAAAAAGAGTTTCATAATTTGACTTTCTCTTCCTCACATTGCCCTTTGGCTGATTGTATTTGCACCGGAATCTTTTAATTGAGGAAATGTGTAATTTATAGAATATGTTAGCTGCCTTCCAACTATGTAGCAAGTGTTGATTTCCTTTCTAAACCATTCAGTAATAAAAATAACTTTCTCTTAATTGGGTGCTTTTTGTTTGTTTGTCTACAAATGACATCAGTAATGTAGTATCATTGGGAATAAGTCCTGTTAATACAAGGAACACTGAAGATAAACACTTCGATAAAAATTTGTTTTAATTTACTTATAAAATGAGTGTCCTTTTCTTCTTTTGGAAACACAAACACTTTCTTTAGAAAAACTTGCTCTCTTTGGCCTTCCTACTTTAGAACACTCTGCAGGGACTTTGGGAATCATCAGAATTTTATGGCTGGTACAAAACTTGGAAATCCCCTTCTGTAGCAAAAGGAGCTAGATCTTTAAGATCTTTAGCTTCCATCACATTTCTCTGTTCTACATTTTTTTTTTTCCTTTAAAAATCCTGAGCCTCATCTTGAAGGCCCCTTCAGTGGGATAAGAATCAGGGAGCTCCACCTGACTCTTTGAAGCTATGCCCAAGGTTAAACTTACTCCTATGTGAAAGAATGTCTTAAAGTTTCAAGCCTAAAATGACACTAGCATTTTCCCTCATTTTAAAAGTCAGAACCTTCAGTAGAATTTATTACACATGTCTTTGCATCTTATCGAACTCCCTGAAGGTGCCTTTTTAGCTAAAATCCTACTGCAGTACTGTCTTGGTAACTCCTTTTGCTGTTCTAAATTTATGGTAGAAAGAGTGATACTTTAAAAATGAGAAAGTTCTGCTTGACATTGGTAATGAAAATGGAAGTAGACTGCTGTGATGCTCAAAATTGGATTTAATGCCTATACATCAAGGAGAGTTGATAATAAAGTGGATACAGTCATTTAGCAAAGTGAACAGTTATTCAAGCTACAGCTCTGCTTATTTACAGCTGGGTGCTTATTTACAACTAATCTTCAAGTTTAGTGATTTTGTTCCATCACATCCAAATCCCAGTAGTTAGAAAAGTCAGTGCTCCTTCTGCTAGCCCCTTCACAACTGGTTGTTAACTTTGTTCTTTTCAGTTGTTACTACTTTGTTCTTTAGCTGCTCCCCTGTTTCCTCATGATACACAGAAATATTAGAACAAGTTATTTGGAGCTTTAGCTTCCACATCAGCATTTTTAAGGCTAAATTGGAAAATGTTTGGACTTTGGGTACAAACAAGTAATGTTCTAAAGCCTCCTTTTGTTTAAATTTTTCAATTTAATAGACTCTCAAAACTGAGGTTCATTTCCTACTCCCTCCTTTAAATTAGGAAAGTTATTTATCAAAGTTATATGGTTTTGATTTCAAATTAAGTTAGGTGATCGATGTGCAAGGGGGTGACCCACAGTTTTTTCACATCAGAGGCCACATTTGTGTACCAATTATTTAATTCACTATAGAGAAGATGAAAAATGCATTGCATATACTTGGAAAGCTGGCATTTTTCTGGAGAAACTTTTAAAACATGTTCTGAATGTCACGGTTGCTTTTTAAGTTTATGGTTGCACATTAAGATAGTATAGAAATCCACTTACTGACTTCTCTGAGCAAGAACTGACTTATGACCAAAAAAAATCTCCATTTTCATCACTGTGTATGAAACAAATGCTGTAAACATCTTATTCCTGTGAGTTAACATTGTTTTTGGTTTGTAGCAACTGACTAAGTCTGAGAGTCCACTTTTTAGGTAAACAAGGCAATTTTAATAACTTGGTATTAATGTGGCTTTAATTCAATTTCAGTTTTCATTAGAAAACTCTTTTCTTAATCTACATCTAGACTAAAGTTCATTCTTTATCTCACAAACAGTGGGAAATAAATGACGCTTTTAGGCAGGGAGAGGTCATGTGAACAGAACCACATTTTGAAAAGGTCATTCTCATTGCTTTGTGGAAAATGGAATGGAAGGGAACAAAAGTGGAGGCAAGGAGTCCATTTAGGAGGCCAGTGCAGTAATCCAGGTAAGAGATGATGGCTTGGACAGCGGTGGTAGCAAATACGGAAAGATGTCCCAGAGATATATAGGAAGGAAAAATGGCAGGACTGGTAAGGAATTTCTTGTAACCGGTGGTTAAAGGTGTCTTCCAAGTATCTGAATAACATGCCTAAGTAGATGTTCTTGTCATTCACTGAAATAGGACATCCTGAAAGAGAACTAGATTTGAGGGACAGAGAGAGCATCATGGATTCAATCTCCTTTTACATGGCTCTGTGCCTTCTTGCCCTGGGTTCTTTACCACATAAACTCCCTCTAATCTTTCAAGGCTCAGTTCAGAAGTCACCTGCTCTTTGAAGCCTTCTCAAGCTTCTCTTGGGTAGGAAAAAAAATCATAACTTCTACTGTATTCCCATAGCATTTTGCTCATGCTAGTTTTATGACATTTACCACATTAAATTGAGTGAATACATGATTGTCTTTGGCTATAACATAAATTCCTTCTGGGTAGAAAAGCCATATCTTGATCTTTATTGTACTTGCTAAAATCTTTGTTATCTGGGCCACTGCCTGGCACACAGTAGGTGCTTGCTGAATTGAACTGAAATGCACTGCACACCAAGTGGGATGACTCTTGTGAGCATAATCTAGTTCTAGTTTTACTAGAAAACTGCACTGAAATAATGTATGCTATATTGCATTTGTATTATAATAAAGAGGTGAGAAGTTGAATTTGCTTTTTAGTTAGAGCAGTGGAGGAAATAGCCGAAACACAGGTTTTAATCAAAATTTCTTGTATGCCTTCTACATGCTGAACACTGTTGTAGGCACAGAAGGGAAGTGATCTTATGATGTGTATGATATGCTCCCTGACCTCTTAGCAGTTCATGACCTGATATAGGAAAGAAGAGGGCATGTTGCAGTAGTTTCCTATAAAGAGAATAACCAGAGTTCCTCAAGGAAGCAGTTCATTTAGTGAAACACAGGTAAACAAACAGTGGGGGCCTGGAAGCAGCAACAAAAAATGTTCCCTTTCAATGTGTTAACACCCCACGGAGGACTCTAACAGTCCCTAATGTTTGTTTGTTTAATTAAAAACCCTTTACATAAGGAACAGAAGGTCAACAAGCTAGAAGCTCAGCTGTTAGCCTGTTGTTGGAGTTTAGTTTGTTGTTTTAGAAAATTGACCTTCAGTTATCAGGACAGTTAAGTGCTGATCTGAACTACGGCAGCTTCAAAGTGACTGGATCTGTGGTTTTGATCCCTTTTATTTTTGGTCACAAGCTGCCTTGGGAACCTGAAAACTGTGGACTCTCTTCTCCCAAGTGATACACATCCACACACAATTATGCACTTCATTTTGAATGGGCTTCCCTGAGGCACTTCTATGAACGCTGGGGGAAGAACCTTCTAGGTTAGCGGAACCTTGAGCCCATACACCTTTTAAAGAGAGGTTAGTAGTAAATCCCCATCTGTCGTATCATGCTCTACAACTTTGGCTTTTTCAGTCACCCCACCTAATATAATGGACATTTTCTCACATATGGAGACCATTCAAGTATAAATTTAGATCTTTAGATTAAGAAACATTTCTTTCTTTCTGGTTTCTGGTCTTCTTTATTAAGACATCTAGAAAATCCAACTTCTGGTGATTTTAAAATTACCTAGTCCTTGAGCTTAAGGTATCAGTGAGAAAGAAGGTCTTTGTGATTTGACAGTTGGCCCAAGAGTTTTCTCCACCTGCCCATGTACAATTTAGCATTGAAACCTTTACCTATTACCAGTTACCAAAGCGCAGGGTGGTGCGTTGGTGATTAAAATGAAAGCCCGCTATGACCCAAGGTTATGTGTACACCTCAGCTTTCACAGAGGTGGGAAGCGGTGATAGGGACAGAATTATACTTGTGATGATGATCAAGATTCCAGAGGTTAGCTCAGCCAAAGGAATTAATTAAATTAGTACATTCACTCATCCAACTAATTTATTGTCTACTTTATGTCAGGCATTATGCTAGGTATTGGAGAAAGAGTAATAAAAAGACAGATGAGATCTGCCCTTATAGATCTCATTGCCTATTGAGGGAGGAACTTTAATTAAATTATGCACACATATAATTATTCACTGAAACGAGTGTTATCAGGGAAGTATAGGATGATATGAGAGCAGATAACAGGGAACATAATTTAGATCGGGTCGGGGAAAGCAAAGCTGTGGGACTAGATGTCCCAATTGGAATGCTCCAAGTGAAAACTTCACTCCTGAAAAGAATGTTTATATACTCTACCTCTAAGTACACGCTTATTCATATGTTTGAGGTTTGGGTTTTAACATGCTTTCAAAGTGTTGTGATAATTTGGAATCATGAGTCATTATTATTAATATTTTTCAAGTTTCCTTTCTAATAATCTTTTTTTTTCTTCTCCCCTTACAGTATACACTTTGGAATTTCCTTCCAAAGAATCTGTTTGAACAGTTTAGAAGAATTGCAAATTTTTATTTTCTCATCATTTTCCTTGTACAGGTAAGAGCGCCATTAGAAACTTAATTTCCTTAACCAAGTTTCAATCCATTTCTAACCTTAAAATGCCCTGTAATTAAAAAGTTGTTTCCGGGCTTATTATAATAAGACTTGTTAAAGTACTAATATTATATTTTAAGATATATGTGATTTTACATATTTCTAAAGTAGCTCTTTTACTAGAAAACTCCAGTAAAACATCTAGACTAGTCTGCATCTCATACCACATGCTCTCTTGCCGCTGGCTTCCTTTATTTTCTTACAGGTGCCACATGCCCTCCTACCGTAGAGACTTTCTATACACCCTTCACTGCACCTGGAAGGCCCTCCCTTCCATCTAGTTAACTTCTATTTACTCTTCAAATCTCAGTGTCTCACTTGTTTTAATATCTGGTTTTCACTGTAAGCTGCCAGCTCTATGAGGGCAGGGACTTTTCTCCATCTTGTTTAAAATAAAGCAGCATCTCTAGAGCCTGGCTGGTAATAGCACAGAGGCTGACAGAATGGTGCTCAACAAACAGATGGTAAATGAGTGGATGTATTTCAGTCAAGGGGTTAGTTCAAGCTGGGATGAAAACTAAGCCTAAATTTAGAACTATTTTCTTAAACTTACAGCTATGTGGATTGCTTTTGTTTTAATGAAAGTTAACATTCACCCTGCTACCGCAATGTGTTTTGTCTGCATTTCTGTCTGAAATGTTTGTAGCATGTAAGTGCTGCATATGAGTTAATGGCTTATTTTCATTTTACTTTCAATTTAATTTCTTTACCTAGGTCACAGTAGACACACCAACTAGCCCAGTTACCAGTGGACTTCCACTTTTCTTTGTTATAACTGTTACAGCCATCAAACAGGTAAATTTCTAGTTTACAATTATACTTGCATTTCAGTCCTGTCTGATTTGAATTTCATTGTCAAAGGTTCTTTTTCACATTTATATCGAGTGGGTATCCTTGATGAATTTAGTTTATATTTGGTTTTTATTGAAAACACATGAAAATGATTGTAAGGTGCATCTTTAATTTCTTTGCTCCTTTCTTCCTATTTGTGTGTGTGTGTGGCGAGGGGGGAATATAACCCTAAAAGGAGAGTAAGTAGAAGGTGCAGCTCAGTGGGGAAGTGTGAGGTGAATTTTTGATGTGCATTACATTTTTCATTGTGCTGTATCTGTCTGAAAAATTCCCATTCTTGTGGACTTTTTAAATTGCTGCCTATAGCAAAGAACTCAAGAGCATACTTGAGTTTCTTACTTTAATTTTGTTGTCTTTCCTGATGGTGCTGAAGGGGGTCGTGGGTAGAAGAGATTTTTATTCTTGTTTCTTGTCAAAGTTCATACCTGCCACAGTTTATGATAGTGCCTTTGAAAAATTCCAGATGAAATAGAAAATGGAAACAGGAAACTGGAGGTGAAGGGGTGGGTTAGCAATGTTTATCATGTAATCAGAGAGTCCATAGGACCTGACAGATTACAAGGATACTTTTAGACAGTACTTATCAAAAGTACTTTAAAAAGTATCCCTCAAAACTTCCAAAGTGTTTGCTTAACAATATTGGGAACATGGTTATCTTTCCTCTTGGGTTTGTCTGGTCTTCTGTCTTGCTTACCAGGAGCTGCAAGAGTATTTTATCAAGTGTTTGGTTGCTATATAAAGACTTTTGGAATGTTATTTCCTTAGGCTGTTAGGATTATTTTCTTTAACATCATAGAATTGCTGGTTGCAAGAATAGCCTGTATGGTTTTCAAAAGCTCTTACTGATTCAGTTTACTCCCAGTACTAGTTCATGTTGGGGCCTTTCTTTCCTCACTGACATCACAGAAAGTACCATATGAAGTGATAGCCTAGCATTGCCATAAAGAAGGACAGAAGAGGAATGAATATATAGCAGCTGAGAAAAAAAGGGGAAGGCGATCAAGAGATTTTTCACACAGTTAGATTTGCAAAGGTACACTCATTATTATAAAGAGAGAAAGCAAAGTGATGTAAAAAAAGATGGAGATCGTGCTAAAACAAATGAACGCCCTCCATCCTTAGTTCTTTTGGCTTAAATTTACTCTAGACCAAAGGAAGCCCAAAGGAAAATGAACTCTGATTACTTCTAACTCTAAAAAATGAACAACAATTTGTATTTTTTTTTTTGTCACCAAGTCAGTGGAGAAGTTTAGCCGTCATTCTCTAAAACAACAGTTTTAGATAGATACTGTTCCAAAATAATCCTCCTTGCCTTTTCTATTCTCTGTCCCTGGGGAGGAATTATATTTCCTCAGAGATGATCACTCCAACGGTCTACTATACAAGAACATATTTAAGTGATTTGCTCTATAAGAAAATAAAACTTTTTTCAAATTAAAGAGTAGAAAAAATTAACATTAACTTGAATAAGAGCAGAATTAGAAAAATAAATCATATCCTTCACAATTGAAGAATGCCTGTGTTTTTATTAATACTTATCTATAGAATGCAGGAACCTTTTAACGCAATAAAGCTATAAGGGATATTTTGAAAGCATATCTTAGTTTTTGCTGCAAAAATTTACAGTGTTGTCTCTTTAGCATTCTGAGTTGAAATTAATACTGTAAGTATAAATACCTGCTGGTGACTCATAGAGGGGGTTATAGAAATTTATTAACAATTTTACTTCATTATGTGAGCTTGATTATGTCCTTACTTTTATCCTTCTAGGGATATGAGGATTGGCTGAGGCACAGAGCTGACAATGAAGTCAACAAGAGCACTGTTTACATTATTGAAAATGCAAAGCGAGTGAGAAAAGAGAGTGAAAAAATCAAGGTATTAAGTTTTGTAGTTCATTCTTTTTTAAAATTACAGTAAGAGCACATCATTTTAAAATGTACAATTCAGTGGCATTTCGTACATTCACAGTGCTGTGCAACCATCAATACTGTCTAGTTCCAGAACATTTTCACCACCCGGAAAGGGAAACCCCCATAGCCATTAAGTAGTCATGCTGCATTCCTCCCTCACACAGGCCCTGGCAACCACTAATCTCCTTTCTGTCTCTGTGGGTTTACCTATTCTAGATATTTCATATAAATGGAATCATACACTATGTGGCCTTTATGTCTGGCTTCTGTCACTTATTTTTATGTTCTTGAGGTTCATTCATGTTGTGGCATGTACTTCATTCTGTACTTCATTCCTTTTGATGATTGAATAATACTCCATCATATATTAGCTATACCATATCTTGTCTATCCATTCATCAGTTGATGGACATTTTAGGTTTCTTCTACCTTTTGGCTATTAGGAATATTGGTAGTATGAATATTCATGTACAAGTTTTTGTTTGAACACCTGTTTTCCATTATTTTGGGTATATACGTAGGAGTAGAATTGCTAGGTCATGTGCTGACTCTATGGTTAACTTTTTCATGAACCATCAAACTGTTTTCCACAGCAGCTATATACCATTTTATATTCCACCAGCAATGTATGATAGTTCAAAGGTATTGTTATTTTTTAATATCTCAGGCAATTTAATTTTTTATCCAAATTAATCATTGTTTCATATTACCCAATAAGAGTCCTGTCGATAAAATTTTAGACTTGTCCACATCAAATAATATTTTTTGTTCCCAACAGGTTTTATTTTAATTAATAGTAAGGTTTACTTTTTAGAGCAGTTGTAAGTTCACAGCAAAATTGAACAGAAATTATGGAGTTGACATACACCCCTTTCTCCACACAGGTGCAACCTTCCTCATAATCATTATCCCCCACCAGAGTGGCATATTTGTTATAATCAGTGAACCTCCAGTGGCACATCATTATAACCCAAAGTCCATAGTTTAGATTAGGATTCACTCTTGGTGTTACATATTCAGTGAGTCTGAACAAATGTATAATGACCTATACACTATAGTATCACACAGAATCATTTCACTGCCCTAACCATCGTTTGTGCTCTGCCTATTCATCCCTCCCTCCAACCCGGGTCACCACTCTTCTTTCTACTGTCTCCATAGTTTTGCCTTTTTTCATAGTGTCATGTAGTGAAAATCATACAGTATGTAGCTTTTTCAAATTGGCTTCTTTCACTTAGTAATAATGCATTTAAGTTTCCTCCGTCTTTTCATGGCTTGATAGCTCATTTCTTTTTTTTTGGTCCAAATTATTATTTTTATTTTTTTAACATCTTTATTGGAGTATAATTGCTTTACAATGGTGTATTAGTTTCTGCTTTATAACAAAGTGAATCAGTTATACATATACATATGTTCCCATATCTCTACCCTCTTGCGTCTCCCTCTCTCCCACCCTCCCTCCCTATCCTACCCCTCTAGGTGGTCACAAAGCACCGAGTTGATCTCCCTGTGCTATGCGGCTGCTTCCCACTAGCTGATAGCTCATTTCTTTTTTCACTAAATAATATTTCATTGTCTAGATGTACCAGTTTGTTTATCCATTCACTTACTGAAGGACATCTTGGGTGCTTCCATGTTTTGGCAATTACAAATAAAACTGCTGTAAACATCCATGTGCAGGTTTTTGTGTGGACGTAAGATTTCAGTTCATTTTGGTAAATGCCAAGTAGTGTGATTACTGGATCATATGTTAAGAGTATGTTTAGTTCATAAGAAGCTTCCAGGCTGTCTCCAACATAGCTACCCACTTTGCATTCCCATAAACAGTGAATGAGAGTTCTGTTACTCCATATCCTGGCCAGCATTCATTGTCAGTGTTCTGGATTTTGGCTGTTCTAATGGGTGTATAGTGGTATCTCATTTTTGTCTTAATTTGCAATTCCCTAATGACATATGGTGTTGAACATATTTTCATATGCTTACTTGCCATTTGAATATCTTCTTTAATGAGGTATCTATTAGGTCCTTGGCCCATTTTTTTTATCAGATTGTTCATTTTCATATTGTTGAGTTTTAATAGTTTTTTTGGTTTTTCTTAGTATATTTTGGATAACAGTCCTTTATCAGATGGGTCTTTTCCAAATATTTTATCCTAGTCTTAAGGTATTATTTATTTATTTTTATTTTATTGTGTTATTGGGATAAAAAACACATAATACTAAGTTTACCATCTTAACCATTTTTTAAAAATATTTATTTATTTATTTATTTGTGGCTGCATTGGGTCTTTGTTGCTGCGCGTGGGCTTCTCATTGTGGTGGCTTCTCTTGCTGTGGAGCACGGGCTCTAGGTGCACGGGCTTCAGTAGTTGTGGCTCACTGGCTTAAGTAGTTGTGGCTCGTGGGCTCTAGAGCCGTAGGCTCAGTAGTTGTGGCTCACGGGCTTAGTTGCTCCGCGGCATGTGGGATCTTCCTGGACCAGGGCTCGAACCGTGTCCCCTGCACTGGCAGGTGGATTCTTAACCAGTGCGCTGGCAGAGAAGCCCTTAACCATTTTTAAGTATACAGTTCAGTAGTGTTAAGTATATTCACATTGTTGTACAGCAAACCTCTAACCCTTGGTACACACTTTTCTATTTTCTGTTTCTATTACTTGGACTACTTTAGAGAGATACTTCCTGTGAGAGGGAACTATAGTATCTGTCCTTTTGTGACTGGTTTATTTCGCTTAGCATAATGTCTTCAAGGTTCATTTATGTTGTGGCATAGGACAGGATTTCCCCTTTTTTAAGGCTATGTAAATACTCCATTGTATGTATATACCACACTTTCTTTATCAGTTAATCTGTTGATGGACGTTTGGCTTCCTTCTACCTCTTGGCCATGTCAATAATGCTGCAGTAAACAGATATACAAATAACTTTTCAAGATCTTGCTTTGAATTACGTTAGATATATACCCAGAAGTAGAATTTCTGGATCGTATGGTAATTATATTTTTAATTTGTGCAGGAACCTCCATACTGTTTTCCATAATGGATGCACCATTTTATGTTAGCGTCTAGACTACACAAGGGTTTCAACTTCTCCCTGTCCTCTTGAGCACTTGTATTTTTCTGTTCTTTTGGTAGTGGGCATCCTGATGGGTGTGAAATGATATCTTGTTTTGGCTTGGATTTTCATTTCCCTAATGATTAGTGGTGTTGAGCATCTTTTCATGTGCCTATTGGCTATTTATATATCTTCTTTGGAGAAATGTCTGTTCAAGTCCTTTGCCCACTTTTTAATCAGGGTATTTGTTTGTTGTTGAGTTGTAGAAGTTCCTTATATATTCTGGATATTAACCCCTCATCAGATATATGATTGGCAAATATTTTCTCCTATTCTGTAGGTTGCCTTTTCACTGCTGATTGTTTACTTTGGTCATGTATTCTCATTTTCTAATTTTGATCTTTGTCCTGTGCTTTTGGTGTCATGTCCAAGAAATCATTGCCAAGTCCAATGTCCTGAAGCTTTTTCTCCATGTTCTTCTGGGAGTCTAATGGGTTCAGGTCTCACATTTAGGTCTTTCATTCATTTCAAGTTAATTTTTGTATGTGATGTAAGAATCCAACTCTATTAATACTTTTGCATATAGATACCCATTTTTTCTAAAACCATTTGTTGAAGAGACTGTCCTTTCCCTATTGAATGGTCTTAGCACCCTTGTTGAAAATCATTTGGCCCTATGTGCAAGAGTTTATTTCTCAGTTCTCTATTCATTGGCTTATGTAGCTGTCTTTTTTTTTTTTTTTTTTTGCGGTACGCGGGCCTCTCACTGTTGTGGCCTCTCCCATTGCGGAGCACAGGCTCCGTACGCGCAGCGCTCAGCGGCCATGGCTCACGGGCCCAACCGCTCCGCGGCATGTGGGATCTTCCCAGACCGGGGCACGAACCCGTGTCCCCCGCATCGGCAGGCGGACTCTCAACCACTGTGCCACCAGGGAAGCCCCCTTATGTAGCTGTCTTTATGCCAGTCTTAATTTCTGTTGCTTTCTTGTTTTAGTACGTTTTGAAATCTGGGAATATGAGACCTCCAAGTTTGTTCTTCCTTTTCAAGATTGTTTTGGCTACTCAGGGTCCCTTGAGATTTCATATGAATTTTAGGATTTTTTTTTCTATTTCTGAAACAGATGCCATTACATTTTGATAGGAAGTCCATTGAGTCGTAGATCACTTTGGATAGTATAGACTTTTTTTTAAAATTTTTTAAATTTTTGGCTGCATTGGGTCTTTGTTGCTGTGTGCCAGTTTTCTCTTTTTACGGCAAGTGGCGGCTACTCTTTGTTGTGGTACGCGGGCTTCTCATTACGGAGGCTTCTCTTGTTGCAGAGCACGGGCTCTAGAGCACAGGCTCAGTAGTTGTGGCGCACAGGCTTAGTTGCTCCACGGCATGTGGGATCTTCCTGGACCAGGGCTCGAACCCGTGTCCCCTGCATTGGCAGGCAGATTCTTAACCACTGTGCCACCAGGAAAGCCCATGAAAGGGTGTTGAATTACGCCAAATGCCTTTTCTGCATTGACTGAGATGATCATGCAACACATTGTTTATGTGTTGCATTACATTGATTGATCTTCATATATATATCCTTGGATCCCAATGATAAATCCCATTTGGTCATGGTGTATGTCATTTTAATGTGCTGTTGATTTTGATTTGGTAGTGTTTTAAGATTTTTTGAATCAGTATTCGTTGAGGAAATTGGTCTGTAGTTTTCTTGTACTGTCTTTTTCTGGTGATGGTATCAGGGAAATGCTGGCCTCATAGAATAAGTTAGGGGTTGTTCCCCCCTCTTTGATTCTTTAGAAGAATTGGGAAGGATTGTTATTTCTTCTTTAAATGCTTGGTAGAATTCTCCAGTGAAGTCATCTGATCCTGGGCTTTTCTTCTGTTTTTGATTCCTGCTTGAATCTTCTCATTAATTTTA